TGTGCAAACTATCATACAATATCCTTAATTTCACATGCTAGCAAAATAATGCTTAGGATCACCCAACGCAGACTAGAGCCCTACATGGAGAAAGAGATGCCAGATGTTCAAGCTGGCTTTAGAAAAGGCCAAGGAACACAAGACATTATTGCTGATGCCTGCTGGATAATTGAGAAAGCCAAAGAATGCAAAAAAGAAGTAAGTGTGTGCTTCATCAATTATAGAAAGGACTTTGATTGTATTGATCACATCAAGCTGAAAAATGTGCTCAGAAAAATGGGAATCCCAGAACATCTCATTGTCCTCATCAGAAACTTATATACAGGTCAGGAAGCCACAGTATGGACAGAACATGCCGAAAAAGACCAGCTCCAGGTTGGCAAAGGAATGCAACAAGGCCACATAGTTTCCCCTTATTTATTCAACCTATATGCCAAATATATATTAAGGTAAACTGGATTGGAAGAAGATAAGTGTGGTTTTAAAACTGGAGGAAGAAACATCAATAACCTGCATTATGCTGATGACACTACCCCACTAGCCAAAATGCGAAGGATCTCCAATCCCTAGTACTAAAAGTCAAAGAGCATGGTGGAAAAAATGGGATTCAAATTAAATATAAAGAGCACCAAACTAATGACAACAGTTACAACAACCAGCCTTAGAACTGACAATGAAGCTATTGAAGAGGTGAATAGCTTCTGCCTTTTAGGAGCAACCACCAACAGCAAAGGAACAAGCAGTCAAGAAATATGCCACAGACTAGCACTTGGTAAAGCAGCCATGAAGGCTTTGGAAAAGATATTCAAATGCCGTGATTTTCCTACAAAAATCAGAATTGTGCAAGCCACAGTATGCCCGGCGGCACTCTATGGAAGTGAAAGTTGGACTTTGAAGAACCAAGATGGGAAGAGTATTGATGCTTTTGAACTTTGATGTTGGAGAAGACTCTTGAGAATACCGTGGACAGCCAAGAAAACAAACCAATGGTTCATTGAACAAATCAACCCAGAGTTCTCACTTGAGGCACACATGACCAGCCTCAAATTATCCTATATCCTTTCACATTATGTGAAAACCCAGCTGTCTGGAAAAGGCTCTAATGCTGGGAAAAGGGGAAGGAAAGAGAAGAAGACAACCAGCAGCAAGTGGATGGATTACAGTGGCGATGAGTGTACCGTTGGGAGACCTGAAAGAATGGGTTAGGGATAGATCATCATGGAGAAAATCTATCTATGTGGTCACTAGGAGTCAAAAATGATGTGATGGCACATAATCAATCACTTAAATAATATCCCTTTGAATGTATCTTAGTTTTCCCTAGCCACTTTCTAGAAAACCTTGGTCCCCACTAACAATTCTCAGCCATCTACTACACTATTAGTGGCTAGTTTGCAATTAAGATTTTCACTTAATTTGTTACCACCTAGTAGCTATGGATTCCAAGCTCCCACTTGCTTCTGCTAAATCTACACTTAACTTGTTTATTAATTCTAAAATTGCTTTTAATATATTAATGGGGGTTCTTTCTACAATCCCCCAGATTTCAACTTCACCTGGTAGAAAGAATATTGATGCTT